ACTTCTAGAAAACAAGTATGGGTGGTGTTGTGTCGAGTAATACATCCACGGAAGAGTGCTGCCTTGCCTCTTCTGATTCTAGCACCCCCCACTGATACTAGTAGGGTATGTGTTGCAGGATGTGAAAAGAATGGAATTGGAAAAGATGGGGCAGGGTGATTTCGTGTGCGCACCATCAAGGAATGCGTCAATCATGACAAGGTTCCATCATGAATGTGAAGACTTCGAGACTCGTCATGCCTTTGACATGGACCATTTACTCGTTCCAGATTCACCTTTGTTTCACGAGTGGACATCTGCTAAAAATGTCGCAAGGAAAAAAAAATGAAAAAATAAAAAATACAATAAATGAAAAAATCCAAGCGCGTTTTGTATGGTCATACCTCAAAAAGAAGAAGATTAAGTTCCAGTACGAAGCTACCAAGTCCGATTTGAACAAGGTTGCGGGGCTCGAGTCTCTCAGGTGCCGGTGGCAATTCATGTTATTATTATTATATTTATTTTACTAAGGTGTTTCCCACAGACCATGTGTTTGGTTAAGCTGCACAAGCAGCGCATTACTTTATCCCTTCCACTAATTGTTATCGGCCAATCAGCATACTCTCACCACCTCACATCCAATCAGCATACCCCACGTCACACTAACGTTACACAAACTTGTCTCAAATATGCGAAAAAATGGTACTGTATCATAGCAACATCCTCCTGGATAATGAACAAAATAACGATTAAAACACAACAACCGACAACAACCGACAACAACCCACAACAACCAACAACAATCAACAACCAACAACAACAACAGCCAACAACCGACAACAACCGACAACAACCGACAACAACCAACAACAATCAACAACCAACAACAACAACAGCCAACAACCGACAACAACCGACAACAACCGACAACAACCAACAACAACCAACAGCAACCAACAATCGCCAACAACAACCAACATCAACAAACAACAACCGACAACAACCGACAACAACCGACAACAACATCCAACAACCAACAACAACCGATAACAACCAACTACAACCAACAACAACCAACAACAACAACAACAACAACCAACAACCGACACCAACCGAGAACAACAACCAACAACAACCAACAACAGCCAACAACAACCAACAACAACCAACAACAACCAACAACAACAACCGACAACAACGGACAACAACCGACAAGAACCAAGAACAACCAACACCAACCAACAACAACACCCAACAACCGACAACAACACCCAACAACCGACAACAACCGGCAACAACAACCAACAACAGCAAACAACACCTGACAACACCTGACAACAACCGACAACAACCAACAACAACACCCAACAACACACAACAACAACAACCAACAACAACCAACAATAACCAACAACAACCGACAACAACCGACAACAACCGACAACAACCAACAACAACCGACAACAACCAACTACAACCAACAACAACAATCAGCAACCGACAACAACCGACAACAACATCCAACAACAACCAACAACCATAAAAGATTGTATGTTTGACTTATTATTATTATTGGAACAACAACAACCAACAACAACCAACAACCGACAACAACCAACAACAACCAACACCAACCAACAAGAACACCCAACAACCGACAACAACACCCAACAACCGACAACAACCGACAACAACAACCAACAACAGCCCACAACACCTGACAACAACCGACAACAACCAACAACAACCAACAATTACACCCAACAACAACCAACAACAACCAACAATAACCAACAACAACCAACAACAAACAACGACAACAACCGACAACAACCGACAACAACAGCCACCAACAAAATCAACAACGACGACGATAACGACGACAACAACCCACAACAACAACATCAACAACGACGACGATAACGACGACACCCACAACAGTGTCCGGTAATGTGTGGTAGAGAATGGCAGTCAGCCAGACTGAGTACAGTTGAACATGTATAATAATAATAACACATTTCGCGTAGTTGAGCACTAAATAAAGAAATTCAGTGTTTTTCCCACTTCTGTCTTGTGAGCATCATCAGCAAGGTGTAGTAGCTGCTGATACTGATTTGTCCTCGAGTGTCGAGCTGCACAGTTTCTTCCAGTCTGTCTTGTCCTCTGCTTGTTGCCGGCACCTGGAAAGGTCTTCCATGGTCTTCATGGGCACACCCAGCTTATTCAACTGAGCGAGCAGACTTGTGGCTAGTGTCAACCTTGGCCGCCCACGGGGTGCTTTGTTGCCCTTGTCCAAAGAGCCGCTCATGGCTACTTAGGGTGGCGTGTCCGTGTCCGTCTGTAGCACATGACTGGTCATTCGTAGTCGCCTACATGCAGCTGTGTCATGTATTACTACAAGAACTCAACCAAGTCCTCAGCAGTCATGGAGTAGCGGCAGGTTAGGCAAGTAGGGCTGGGGGCAGAACTGATCCACTCCTTGATACAGTGGAAGTGAAATTCATGACCACACTCCAACTTGGATAGAGGACGATCCAGGGCATCCTGACAAATCACACAACTGGACTCATGACTTATTGCTGACGAGTCTACCTTAGTAGGCACTACATTGATGTACTGCAGCTCCATGGGGTGTATTGCCTGGTCTTGATGGTGGTCACCGTAATACACCCCGTTGAGGTACCACTGATAGACACCCTCCTCCTCCTGAGAGATGAAAGCAGGTCCATCTTCCCTATGCCGAAGGTTGTATCGGTACCACTCCCGTACACGATTGTTACCTTCCCTGTGTATAACCGCTGGCGCATTCTCCCTGTGGAGCCTTCCTTGGTGATACCACCGTAGAATACAGCATGTGGCGTCACAATAACTGGCTGCAGGACCGCCGGCTCTAGGCACCGTTGAGGTAGTACTCGATGCTACCCCGTCCTATCCAAGCCCGTTCATTAACGCGATGAAGGCGACCTTCATAGCACCAGGCGGACACTCCCCTACTATCAACAAGAGCTGGTCCGTCCTCCCGATGGAGTCTACCATCGACGTGCCAAATTTCTTGCTGCGCGTTTTGATCTGCCACCTCCACAACAGTTCTTATTGGCGTCCGCCTTTCTATTAGTAAAGGACCCGTGGTGAGAGACCACGACCGGTCGTCCACGTCTACACCGAATGTATCAGCCATATCTATTTACTGAGAATAATGTAACAACTCCTCCACAAACGCTTCTACAACTGACGTCTTCTTCATCCTGGTTTTTTCCTCTTGGTGGTTTTGGATAAGAGTTGAGAAGTCCAAAAGGTCAACTGATGACCTTTGCGTTACTTGGTATGATTGGGTTTTAGCGGATGATGTCGGTATGCAGCTGGGGAGCGAATTCGACAGGAAGAAGGTAAAGGTCTTGCTTTGCGGTTCACACCTTCACTTCAGTATCATTACAGTCCAAATGGCTTTCACTTGTCACTGTAGCGTTCGAATGTCAGGGGTAATACCCCTATTCCAGCACCTGAGGCGGTGCGTCAAGCGCCGCCTCTTTCTCATCATATATTGTGACCAGGGAGTCGTACTCAAACTAGGGAGGTGACACGGCACAGAAATTCGTGTCACAGGGGTTGACTCGCACCCGTGACCCCTCGTTGTTATTTTTGGAATAGTTCAGTCCAGTTCAGTCCGAAAGGTCATACTTGGATCGACTCGCCTTCTGTACTTCACCTCCAAGCGTGCAACGCGAGACCCGCAAAGTATGATTATTTTTTCTGTGGGGAACGATTTTGCCATTGATCAAGTTTTTATTGGAGTGCTCAGGCATACTACGATTGCTGAGACGTCCCGAGCACGCTTGTTCAGGTTCTCTATCTTTGACGAGCCGGTCCTACAGCCCCCTACATTGTATCTAACGACGTAGGAGCTGACAATGTAAGAGGATTTCCCTGGAAATAATGATGATGGTGGTGTGACTGCTGCAGGAAAAATGCTGGCTGTTTATGACAGTATGACTAGATGTACAATGTAGCTCTCTTGTATGGTACTTAACCCCTGCTATAAATGTGTTGTTTAGGAAGACTGGTGTATTGTGCAAGTCATAAAGAAGAAATGGGGCAGATACACGACTTACAATTTTCAAAAACCAGCTTCGTGTTATGTCTAATTTGTGTCAAAATTGTAGTATTTAGACATGACAATATCATTGGCTGTACTTCTCTAATATGGTACATAACCCCTGCTATAAATGTGTTATTTAGGCAGACTGGACCATTGTGCAAGTCATAAAGAAGAAATGGGGCAGATACACGACTTACATTTTTCAAAACCTGGCTTCGTGTTATGTGTAATTTGTGTCAAAATTGTAGTATTTCAACATGACAATATCACTGGCTGTACTTCTCTTATATGGTACTTAACCCCTGCTAGAAATGTGTTGTTTAGGAAGACTGGTGTATTGTGCATGTCATAAAGAAGAAATGGGGCAGATACACGACTTACAATTTTCAAAAACCAGCTTCGTGCTATGTGCAATTTGGGTCAATTTTTAGTATTCGGATTAACCTAGGATACGACTCAGAACAGTTCTGAACAGTTACCGTAACACTACACGCCGTGTCATAACTGCTGCTGTTGCCATCACTGCTATCAATTAGTTCGGACATGGCAGGAGGTAAACAAATTGCTGGTAGTCTTTCAAAGAATACTGGCGAGTGATGGGCTGTATTAATTAAAACGAAATGTGCTGCCTCAATAATTAGACACCCATGCGGCACGCTTGGAGGTGAAGTACAGAAGGCGAGTCGATCCGAGTATGACCTTTCGGACTGGACTGGACTGAACTATTCCAAAAATAACAACGAGGGGTCACGGGTGCGAGTCAACCCCTGTGACACGAATTTCTGTGCCGTGTCACCTCCCTAGTTTGAGTACGACTCCCTGATTGTGACAAATGGTAAGTGTGCAGTGCTCCTAGCTCTCTCCCCCAACAAAAGAGCTCTATGACACTGTGCTTTCTGCGGTTTCTTTCGTTTTTACAGTGGAGAAAGGCTGGTGGGAGGCCCAGCCGTGGCCGCACACCTGGCGGGTGCGGCCCATCTAACCCGTTACTGGGAGGGCCGGCAGGTCGGGCTGCTGTTGCAGTCCGACTACCGGGACGCCGTGGAGCGTATTAGGACCCTGTAAGTAAGCACTGCTCTGTCTACATGTATACTTATCCCCCTCGTTATAGCGATACTTACTTGTTTCGTATCCTCTTGTCTTTAATACCCTGCTTCCGTATTCGTGACACTAATAGTGTTTGTGTGCGCTCATGCTTGGTTTTACAGATGATGATGATGTATGAAGGTCTGGACCTGCCGTCTTCGGGATGTGCCATTTGTTTCAAAATTATTTGTAAGTACTTGTAACAGGCGTAGTGTAGTAACTGTGTGTGTAGTGTAGTAACAGTGCAGTCGTAATGTGTTTTGTGATGGTCCTGTGCAGTCGTAATGTGTTGGGCTACTGAAGTACACTGCATGAAGGGGTATGTGTGGGTGCTTCGACACATTCTCGTGCTTCCTAAACCCTAGATATGTGTATAGCACTATAACCTAGATGTGTGTGTGTGTGTGTGTGTGTGTGTGTGTGTGTGTGTGTGTGTGTGCCCGCGCATGCATGCGTGTGCGTGCATTGTGTTCTCTTCTACAGACTCATCCAAGTCTATTTAAATAAAAGTGCATTATAGTAAACAGTATTGTGTTTTGTTACAGTGAATATGTGGGGAATGGTGGATATGCCTTAGTGTGACTGGATACGTGCGGGTTGTGACTCTTTGCTGGTCACTCTGGATTCTCCAGTATAGATTCGGTGCAGTGCAGAGGGGATTTGCGGTGCGTAGCAACACTGCTTCACTGTGACACCCCTTCAATATTTGTTTTGATGCATGATACTCCGGGCGTAGCCGGTTGATTCTTACTGTATCACGATCAAAATAGAAATATGCATCTAATGCACCTGCATGGATAGTAGGCATTTCCCAAATCGGCCGGCCGAAAAATTCGCCGAAGAAAGTGGTTTTGAAGAAATCACCCATCTTTTCGCCGAATTTTCAAATTTCGCTTGTTGAATTCGCCGAAAACCGATGTTTCAGTGCTTCAACAGAGTGTGTGTAAATGTACATGACGTAATGGGAACGGTGACTTCAAGTACTACGTTGATCCGAGTTCTGATCTTGGGGCTCATAATATGGCCGAATTTGAACATTCTCTTAACCGATCGAAAAGCCGATTAGGCATGCTCTGCATGGGCAACTTGTCAATCAGTGCACATCTACGATGTGCAAATAAAACGAATGCACGGAACGTGAACTTGTTTGCTGCACATCTACGAAGTGCGAATCAGGGAGTAGTATAATGACACGTGTACTAGTACACCTTGTGTTGCACTGCGTCTTTTCCACACGCATAGGACCACTGAAGGTCACACGCTCCGCGTGCGTATGCACGCATGCGCAATATGTCATTCACTGCACATCTACGATGTGCAAATCAGGGTATAGTACGTATTTTACTACTCCCCGGTGCGAATACAACGAACTTGCACAAGTGCACGGTCGCCACGGAAAAGAACATGATGACATTTATGGCATGCCAGGGGTCAAAGGTCAAACTCTGGGGGATCCCGGGGCCAGACCCAGCACGACCGACACAGTGTGCCTTATTTGGACCAAAGGTCAAAGGTCAAAAAGTGTGCCAGAACCTGCCCCGCACTAACTACTTCCGTGGCCACGTTGTTTAATGCCTCGCTTGTCAATGGCACTGTCCCCACAGCCTTCAAACTCGCACACGTTATCCCGCTGTTCAAAGCTGGGGACCCGTCTATTCCCACTAACTTCCGTCCAGTGTCCCTACTTCCCATATTATCAAAACTCTTGGAGAAAGTCGTACAAAAGAAGCTAGCCCAGTTTCTGGACATATCTGGTACCCTCCCCACGACTCAGTTTGCATTCCGCGCAGGCCACTCAACGGAGGATGCCCTGGTACTTATGCTAAATCGTATTCTTAGTGCACGGGACAAGCGTTTGTGTACTGGCATATGCCTTCTAGATATGTCAAAGGCATTCGACAAGGTTCGTCATGAACGGCTACTCCAGGACCTATTCGATATCGGCATAACAGGGACAGCCCTAAAGTGGTTTTCCGCCTATCTGTCGGGCCGTACTCAGCGTATCTGTATTGGACGGGATCAGAGTGCCATTTCTGCACCATCCTGTGGCGTGCCACAACTTAAGGTTCTGTTCTAGGACCGATCCTTTTCAGTATCTACACCCGCGAAGTTCCAACCATAGCTAACCAGTCTTCATCAGTTCAATTTGCCGATGACATTGCGCTGATCAGCAGCAGCACATCCCTGGACACGGTATCTGCTACGCTATCGGCCTCGGTTTCTGCACTTGCTGACTGGTTGCAGACCCGTGGTCTCATTTTGAATGCAGCCAAGAGCCAAGTGATCCCTGTATACCCCAACAGGCAGCCTCAGCAGCCCCAGCATACGATCAATGTAAACTGTCATGAAACGCCGATTCCTGTCGTTACTGCGGCCAGGTATCTTGGAGTGCTCCTCGACTCGGATCTGTCATGGACGCCCCATGTTGATCGCTGCACCGCTCGACTGGCCCAGAGGATCGGAGCACTATGGAGGTTGCGTCGCTGCTTGACTCATCAGAGCCGAGTTCTCTACTTTAAAGCGATCATCATGTCTGACCTGATGTACGGATCCAATGCGTTTTCCCCGCTTCTTACTGCCAACCAATTGGATCGGCTACAAGTCATGCAGAATCGGGCGGCAAGGGCGGTATTCGGACTCTCGCATCACACCTCCGCGCGTACCCTCCTGCTGCAATTGGACACCTACAGAGTATCCGAGATATTCAGGCAGAAGTTCATCGTTCTGGTCTGGAGGTCTCGGAATGAGCACGCAAGTTCTGAACTGCAAGCCCTCCTAGTTCCTTCGTCGGCTGGCCCAACTAGGTTGCACTCCACCATGGGTCTGCGCCAACCGCCAGTTTCCACCAGGTTCGGCAAGGGTTGCCTCGCGTTTCGGGGCGCCCAGCTGTGGAACACATTACCCAGCGATATACGTGCCATCTCCACGCTCCGCCAGTTCCGCGCCAGCATGATCCCGCACACACTTACTGGCCTTAGTACCTAGACTAGAGTACCAAACGTCCTGTTTGATGATCAGCTGGCTTAGTTTTTCTCCACCTCTATCCTAATTACACCAGTCCCCAATTTCATTTATTACTGCTTTCTATCTGCATTCGCCACCTTTTCATTGGGCAGATCTGCCCGTTTGGTTTGCGAATTAAAATAAACACAACAACAACAACTCCCGGGAAAATCCATCACCGAAGAGGAGATCACCGGAAGGACGCAAGCCCTGCAGCAGGCTCTTGGGGTATCTCTTTGGCAGCGCTGCCATGAGGCGCTGACGGCGTGTCTCCGACAATACATTCGAGGCGTCGCCCGTCATGACGATCGCCATCTGGACCAGCTCGGTCAGTTCGTGGACCGGCCGGCCCTGCTCAATAGCAGCCCAGAGCGCGGCCAGGGAACGGAAAACATCCGTAACCTTTTGTTGGATGTTGGCCAGCATTCTATCCGCTCTCTTGGCATTGGCCAGGCCCTGGACATCCGACATGAACGGGTCCACGCGTGGACATCGCGTTTCCTCCACGTCCGGTCGGGGACACAGTTTCCGCACCCGTCGACGCTCAGCGAAGGACAGGGAACCACGGCAGTGCTCCCGTAGGTACGAGGCCATGTGCGAGGGGGGGGGGGGAGACCATACAGAGTCGTCCACTAACCGGTAACCCCTTAGGATCGAAGCCCGCGCCGCTACCACGGCGATGCTCGTGGGCAGCCGAGTCGTCGGATGACGGACATGTCACATGAGCCACTACTAGGACCGTCGGAGTCACTATCGTCAGATTCTGACGTACCAGAGCTAGAACTTACTATCTCGGTGCCTGGAGAAACGGTGCGACTCGCGCCGTCTGGGTGACCCATGTGGCCCCCCGGGCCCTCAGGCGGGACTCGTGCGTAGCACCCGAGCGTGACACTGACCGACATCTGTCCGCAGATTGAGATCTACATGTAGATCTAGATCTACGTGTACCTGGTGTACGTGTAGCACCAGCCGATCTATGGCGAGTTGTTGTTGTTGTTGTTTATTTATTTTACATCGCATGGCAAACGGGCAGTTCTGCCCAATATTATGAAAGCGATGACAACCAGTAAGAAGAGTCAGAAATGAAGAGAAAACAAATGAAAATAAAAATACGAAAACGGAAGTAGCAATGAGGGGAGGCAGGGTCAAGACGAGCAGAAAAAATGGATCTCAAATTTACAAGTCGGGTCATCGTGGCATGATTCTATCGAGTCTCATCAGCAGGTTACGAAAGCCATTACATTTAACCGAAGTGGGACAGACCTCTACCCCCTCTACCATCCGGTCAGGCGTCCCTCAGGGCAGCATCCTAGGGCCCACATTGTTTCTAGTATACATAAACGACGCCGAAGATCAGCTACCTGCCAGCGTCTCCATCGCCGTGTATGCTGATGATACTACGTTATACACGTCTGTCATGCCTGGACAGACCACAGAGGCCGCCGCAGCTGCACTTCAGACAGCCGTAAACCAGCTGGAAGCCTGGGGAAGTACTTGGAGGGTTACCTTTGAGCCCTCTAAGTCACAGCTGATGTCCGTGACCAGGAAGCTGGCCCCTCTAGACTTCCCCCCTGTCCAATTCCTTGGCACCCCTGTTCCTGTCAGCAGCCAGTTGAAGCTCCTTGGGGTGGTGTTCGACGAGAAGCTCAACTTCAGCGCCCACCTCCACCAGCTTTCTGTGCGCGCACATCAACGCCTCCATTTCATGCGAAAGGCAGCCCCCATCCTGGATGCTGCTGGACGCCTAACCGTCTATAAGGGCTTTGTAAGGCCCATACTTGAGTATGCCCCACTAGCCTGGCTTGGTGCTGCCCAGACCCACCTTGGGAAGTTGGACACAGCACAGCGCAAGGCCATGCAGATGATTGGACCCACCACCGTCCTCCAGAGTCTGCGGGCCAGACGGACGGTCGCAGGGCTGTCCTATCTCTACAAGGTAGTTAACTGCAAGGGCCCACCCCGTCTGACACGCATGCGCCCTCCCCCAAAACCACGGGCCGATACTGTTCGAACCCGCCAGCAGCATTATGCTCAGCGCCAGCACCGGGAACAGCTCTTAAACACCACCCCCGGCACCAGTCCTGATTACCTTCGACGTTCCTTCCCGTACTGTTTCCTTGAATTGTGGAACAGCCTCCCCGAGGACGTCTTTCCCCGTCTGGCCAATCACTCTCCACTCACAGCTTTTAAAAAAGGTGTGAACAAACACATTTCAGACCAGCCATGGTCTTGGGATGTGCTTTGAAGCCCATCATGTTGATCGTCTCACTGTTCTTTCCAGATTGCACCTCTCGGTTTGGGGATGTGCATTGAAGCACCCCATACTAACGGTCTATACTGTCCTCTCTTGGTCACCACTCTCCCTATTACCTATATTGTAATTACCATTCATGTATTGCGCTTCAGATTTTCTTCCGTTTTTGTCTCTTGGTGCGTTACCGGCATGGCGATACTGAGACCTAATGGTCAGTGGAGTGCCTGTAGCCTCACCAG